TGTATATTTTGCTATGCTCTCTTGGTTCAACTCTATATGCTGGTTTTAGAGGGATTGATAATCCAGTTTTTTTCCTCATTTTTATCTATTCATTATTCTATACAACTGATTTATCACCTTCAATGCAGCTGGTCTTATGGAGTAGTGCTATGGGAGATCGAGACCGGAGGTAAGTCAATAACCATCATAAGCAATCGATATAACACTGAGAAAAATCGCCCACTTTAAAAAGGTTGTAAATTTGATGTAAAAATTATGAATGGTGTCTAAATATTTACATTTGTATTATAATTTATGGGAGCATGTGTGTTAGTGTAAAAGGATGCCACGAGTTTTCTAGAGCCAATATGTGTAAAATTTCACCGTGTAATGAAATCAAGTTCCTTTAAGTTACAAGACTTGTATGTTGATGAGAGGGTGACCCAATCATGTAGAATATGCTACAAAGTAAGTGTCCAAAATGATGTAAATTTGCCGCAACACCACTCAAGGCCTGAAAATGATGAGATGTTGCTGCCTTTGTTTCTGCACCTAAAAATAGTTAGTTCTTTTCGGATAAGGACGTTAAACTATTGAGGTTCTGTCTTCCTGGCGTAAAAGAAGTATTCGATGACGTAACAAATTCTGGTTGCGTTGTCCGGCTTTGCTCAGTGTTGCAGTTGTCCGTCCGGCCGAAAAGACTTGAAAGCCGGCAAAACTAATAAGATTTATCCTGCAGTTGCCTATAAATTGGTTCAATAGATGATGATTTTCTGTCTTAATTTAAAATAATGACCTTATTTTCGCAAAAAGTGATTTCCAAAAGGGATGCAATTTGAATTTGTTAGTTTGATTCCCCGGGGATTATGAAAATGAGTAAACAAAAGCCATTCAAAATGCAACTTTGTGTCACTCAACTCGAGGCAGCCGTTAAGGGATACAGTCTTCAATTCGTATTACGAATTTTTGCTTCTCAATTTACATATACTGACACTGAAAACCTGTCCCTATCCGTCCCTCTCTATTATAATCACCTTTCACGTGACTAAAATATATGTTTTCAATAAAGGTAAGATGCCTTACGGAGGACTGAAAATGAAGGAGTTATTAAACCATTTGAAAAAAGGCCAACGTCTGCAGCGTCCAATCACATGCAAGGAAGAAATGTGAGTAGCCAGTAATGATAGATGTATACGTGATATAGCACCAATAGCGTTATTTGAAATTATATATAGTGCTCAGGTGAACTTATTTGTCGGTATTTATTCATTCCTGCTTCATGTACTGCAATCTCATAGACACAGCCACGTAACTTTCGAAGARCAAKGATTGTGTGACATACGWTATGATTGTGCGTGTTTTCTGAAAAATCAGACTAGACTATCAATAAATGATATATTTCGTCTCACTGTTCATTTTGAAAGGGATTTAGTGAGAAGATCTCACTGTAAAATGACAATGTTTAACCAGAAAGAAAGAAAATAGCGCTACACATTTAGAAGTGGTACCTCAATTCTACACAATGTCGAGACTGACTGGGAAGCAGTATAAGAGTACTACAGTTATAGCAAATTAATATCACCACATGAAAGAACTTGACAGACCACATATGTCTTTTGCCTTTCTGCCTTTCGGCCACATTGAAGCTTTGCGGGAGCAGCGGGAGTTGCTCAGTGGATTTTTGAGATCTAAACAGCTGACAATACGCCTGAACTATCAATCGCATGGCGTTTTCCTTGCAAAAAGAAAAGGCAACAGGCAAGCTAGTTAAGGTAATATTCTGGCCGAAACCAGCCAATCGAATCTCGCAGCAACAGCCAWTGAAAAAAGACGGTTGTTTTTCTAGTCCGCAAATTAACTGATTACGTCATCACTGCCGACAGCCAATGGATTTTCTGCAAAGTAACGTATAAGTATAGGAACATAGTGAACTGTATATAGAGATCTAATAGTCATCAGAGGCCGACCAGCATCGACAATATCATGGAAAGTCAGAAAGCCATCATAGCTGCCTTTGTTCTTCTCGTTTGCCTTGGGRTTTTGATGAGTGACATTGAAGGATTGAATGGAGTATTACTTCCTCGTCGTGGCCGCAAGTCATGTCATCGTCGACGAACAGCCCGTAAAAGAGGGTGCCATCGACCAAAACGCCACCACTTTACGATCAGGTAAGAGTGGCTTTTATGCATAAATGTATAGTGGAATTATGGTTGAATTTATGGTTGACTTATTCATAAGAATATCTAATTGTCTGATTTGTATTTTAAAAAATAACGACATTTAAGACATTTGTTTGCCTCGACTTTGATTTCCTTTTTTTACTGTACTCAGGTTTGATGTGAAAGTCCTGAATTCCAATGTAAAAGCTACAAGAAAGATTWCATCATTTTTTGCCGATTGATAGAAATTTCCTTAATATTGTAATGATTTTTCTACCATAATAACAAACACTTTGATCACTGGAGTATTTTTAAACGAAAAATATCAATAAAGAGCTTTTTCTAGCATATAGTTTATTTTGTCATTCCAAAAACGGATCTCCATTCAAAATCGTGTTTATTTCGTCGATGGTCATTTTATTTACGTCACATATTGTGATGAATGGGATGTATAAATTGTATTATTACTATAATTTGCCGCACTTTAAATTGCTATAATTTAATTGTGGTGGTTAAAGCGCGAGATAGACGTCATGCCCTATTTTGTGACGTATTTTTGTTTGTCAATACATGAGACATCATACCTGCACTGCGTTCCATCAAAGTGAAAATATGGCCAGAAATTCAGGACATTTGAGCCCGTGACGAGTCAGCGGGTTTTCCCAACAAAATAGAGCTTTCTACAAGT